AATGAGAAAAGCAAATTACAGGGTAGGTTGGGGATCTGCCAGTAATTCCACCTCAAAATAATATGTTCATTGAACTCTTCCCCCAGGTATTTGTCTCTAAAGCTTTAACCTGGAGGCCACTTTGTCATCTGGAACACTCAGTAATGAAGAGTTTGGTTTCTGCTGGAGAATAAAGCTGTCCGCGGGAACCCCCCCCCGACATATGTTGGTGTCCAGTGCCCCAAATGTGGTTTCTAGGAGTGAGGCTGCTCAGCTGATGCACTGGTTGGGGAGGGGACCGGCCTGTATCTTCTTTGTGTGCTGTCTTGACCACTTTCACAAGCATCCAAATAGGGTGAAATGAACTCAGTTTGTATTAAGGTATTTCCTGTATACTCAAAACAGAGTATTGCTTTTTAAAAACTGTCCCCATCCTCCAGTTGTCAGCACTGAGAAATTAAAACTTACTAGCTAAGAGTAAAAATCCGTCTGTTTTTAAAACACTTTTAGTCTTTTAGGGAACTCATTAGAGTGTATTTAGACAACACCTTCTCTTTTCTAAAAATTAGTATTCTGAGGCATATAATGATAATCACTGAAAAACCATGGATAGATCTGGCCTCTACATCAGTGTTTCTCAGTCTCAGCAACTTTAAGATGTATGGACTTCAACTCCCATAGCTGACTGGGGAATTCTGGGAGTTGAAGTCTATATATCTTAAAGTTGCTGAGATTGAGAAACACTGCTCTAAATGTATCTAGACCTGTTTTTTAAGCAATAGTTATATAATACATTGTGGCAAACCTATATTTGTTTAATTAATATAGTTAAACTATATATTATAATTAATATTATAGTTTAAGCAGTATGTGAAACTAGTCAATATTATCTAAGAATTAAAGTAATAGAGACTGGTTTTTGAGTTATAATACGTAAAGCTGGGCTGCAAGTTCTACATGCATTAAAAAGGACAGATTCTCAGAAAGTAATACAGTAGGATAGCAAGTTTATGCTGTGACTAACTTCTCAATTTTTTCTAGCTTCATTATGTTGGTAAGTCTTATTGCTTTCTTTAAGGTATTTTTAGACTAAAGCTAGATTGAGAATACTTTTTCCAGTCCTTCAGAGCTGAGCAAGTCTTTTAACCCAATCCCACAGTGGACACTTTTATTCTGTCAAGTTGCCTCTGGACAGCTTTTTGATTTTTCCGTGTGGTTCTGGTTTGGGATAATCTCTCCAAGTGTAAACTCACAGTTGGTTCAGTCAAGCTTTACATATGGCAGTCTTGGTTCAGGTTTGGTTTTTGAATTCTTACAAGATTATAATGTCAGGAGGGCATCTGGTTGAGAAAACTCTTGAAATGCTTACTATTCTTACCTCTTGTTTTTTCTCTCTCTCTATTTCTCATTTTCTCTTGCAGTTCCTGGGCATAGCATTTCTTGGAATTGGACTTTGGGCATGGAATGAAAAAGTAAGTTAACAACAGCAATCTGTACAGCCAAGTAAATATAAATCTGTCTCCCAATATTAAAAAAAAATGTTTCCTTCTTTAGAAGGTATCTTGTTAAGGATATTCTACATGGAGTACTTGTGAAACTTATACTAATAGTTTGGGGATGGTTTAAACCAGCTTTTTCCAATTTGGTGCTCTTCAGTAGTTTGGAACTGCAACTTGCATTATTTTCATTAAGTGTGACTGAGAATGATAGGAGTTGGGCTTGGGGCAAAATTTGTTTAGTGCACTGTGGTTTGGGAAACTAATTACAAATAATGGTTTAGGATCCTGGTTTCATGGTCATTGGTAAACCCTGGTATGCCAGCTAAAGTATGAATTGGCACTGTGACAAGCTTTGAGTTTCTGTTTGCTTGGATCATCCCCAATAAATGCTCAATACGTTGTAAAAGAGGCAATTCAGTATCCATCAGAGCATCTGTATTAGGTATTCATCTATATGGAAGAAGCATAGGAAGACTTAATATGTCCAGATTTTATAAGGTTTAACTTGTATTTGAATTCAGAAGTAAATTCCTCAATTAAGAAATGAAGGAATGTTCCTTCATTCCATTCTCTTAGACTTGCTGGTAGATCCTGAAATGTTTGAATTAATGCAAGTGATTCATCTTGACAGAGCAACAACAGTTCTCCTGAGTGCTGCATTCTGACAAGGATATCTTTTGCGGTACAGATGTGACAGAGTTTGTAGATTGGTATATCCTTGGAGGGGGGAAAGGGCCACCTGAAATTTTGGCAGAAGCAAATGGAGTGCCACCTTTAATAGACTCTCAGGCTTACTCAAATTGCATCCTCACTTTATTTCTTCATTAGATTTCTTTATTACTGTAGATCTTTTTAGACTCCTGATGGCCTACAGCAGCAAAAAACATACAGAATAATAAAACTGAGTGATTTTGGGACTTTGATCTCAGCCCACAGGATAATTGTTGGGGAATAAAATGGGAGGGGGAAGCACTATGGATAGTGCCCTGAACTCCTGTAGGAAGGATGGGATATACATCTAACAAAAAATAAATAAATCTGACACATAAACTATTTATAACAGTTTATTGTAAGGAATAATAGTGCATTGTAAGGAAATCAGTAATAAAAATAAATAACAATATAAATATACTGTACAAAATGAAAGATGCCAAGGATTCAGTTCTAGAAAGCGACAGTTGGGGGAGAGGCAGATTAAATTCTAACTGGAGGCTGTTCCATAAAATAGGTGCAGTAACAGAAAAATGTGGTTTTCTGGCTTCAGCCCTCTTCATGTCAGAAAAATGGGGAACCACCAGCAGCTTTCCCCAAGAAGATTGCCATGGACAGGTTGACTCAGGCTGGAGCAGGCAGTCCTGTTGATATCTCAAACATGCTTTTAAAATCAAAACTGGCACTTTGAATTACTCCCAGAAATATATTGTGCAATATACTTTTAAAGTGTTAATATGGATGAAAGAACTGATTAAAATAGACAGTGTCTTGGAGTGATTCTGCCCTATTTGAGAAAACAGGGAGTGCCTTGAAAATAATGATTGTTGTGACTTGTTCCTCCGCTATCAAAAAAATGACATGCATTTGTCTTCACAAATATTTTGGCAATTTGCAGATTTAGATGATTAAAACCTGGCTGGCTTTTTTCTGTAATTCAGATGACAGATAAATCAAGGAAAAAAAATGAAGATTGAAACAGACATACTAGAGAGTGGGAACATCCTAGTTCTGCCCTCTGTAAGAAAGTAGGGATTGCGGGGAACTGTTATTTCTAGAATTACACTTATCACTGAAATCCCCCTCCTGCAATTTGGAAGAGTTCAATACAGGAATTATTTTACTGTGTATTTAATTGTTTATATACTGTATGTTGGAGCTTGCAGTATGTATGAAAGAGTGACTGGTTTAATTTAGAGGTAGACAACGTGTGACCCTCCTGTTGTTACTGAACTACGGCTCCCAGCTGCCCAATAGTTAAGAATGTTGGATGCTGGGAGTTGCAGCTGAGAACATTGTGTTGTCTATTCCTGATTTAATTGACAACTACCGTCCTTCTAGATCAGTGTTTCTTAATCTGGGCATTTTCCAGATGTGTGGATTCCAAGTCCCAGAATTCTCAGCGGTGCCTATACTTTGCAGTGGCTAAGTCCACACATCTGGAAGTTGCCTAGGTTTAAAAAGACTGCTGTAGATGGCCTTCCTCTGTAATTCTCAGCCAACATAGACTTTGGTCCTGTTGTCTGGGGATTATAGGAGATCAACCCACAACAAAACTGGAAGGAACCAAGTTGGGGAAGATTGAGCTAGTACATTAAGCCACTTGAATGGATTTGGTTGAGGTCAGGTCTGTCATTTCTAGTTGTATATTTAAGCAAGTCACTTCATTCCTTTGGGAGGGAAATACTGGTTTAAGAATTTGTTGTGTGGTGACTGCAGTATGATCAAAGTATATAAAATCATTAATGGCACAGTAGCATGGAGAGAAAGATAAATTTTTGTCCCTTTTGCTTGTTAGAAATTAAATTAAATGCAGATATTAGGACTGATGGAAGGAAAAACTTTTTCACATAGTGCAAGTTAAACTGTGAAATTTGCTGCCAGCAGTTGTAGTAATGGCAGCCAAATTGAATGGTTTTTGAAAAGGGATTGGGCTGGAACTCTCTCTCCCTCCCTCCCTCTCTCTCTCTAGTGTTAGTACAGCTAAAAAAAGAAAAACAAAACATGGATATAAATAAAAATACACACAAAAATAGAAAAAAATAAAATCCAGCAATAATTATTTAACTACATGAAAATTATTACAACCCAGATTTTACACAATAAGTTGAACCTTGACCACACTGATTCAGACAGTCCAGTTTGATATGGAGCTAGTCTAAAGACTGAGAATCGACATATTTCATCAAGCCAGCCAACTTTTGTCATCTGGTACACAAGTGTGTTTCCAAGAACATATAATTGTGTAACTATTCAGGTGCAGTAGATCAAAAAATTTTCATAAATAGATAAAGTCCAAATATTTGGAATATAGTTTAATATTCCCGAATTTATCACTGTGTGTTGTTCAGTGTGTGATGGGAATGAGTAGATGAGGAAACTGCCAACCCAAGTTGGAGCCTCTAATATCAACTTTTATTTCCTAGAATGCCAGGGTAATCTATAGAGGCAAGTATAAGGTAATACTTGTATGTTTTCTTGCCTTAGGTTGGGTACAGGGTGAAGATAGACAATGTCTCCTGTCTTTCAATATTTCAGAAGGGCAGATTCACTGGGATTTAGTAAGGTATACAGATATGCTGGGGTCCAGTATTAATTGATGGGGCTGTGAGTAATAGTGCTGTTTATGAGATATTGCATATCCTGGTTCTGGTGTGTGCAGTATAATAATGAGAGGGGGAAAATATTTCTCCTTCCATGGCATGGAAGGCTGTGTTTAAAGCATAAGTTTATTTTTCAATATTTCAGAAGAGCAGATTCACTGGGATTTAGTAAGGTATACAGATATACTTGAATATAATTAACAGATAAAAGGGCAGATTGGGAGCATTTAAAAATCAGCCTTGCTGCTCTTTCTTAGACATCTCCATTATTGGTTTTCTAACCTTTTGACAAACCATTTTGGGCAGACGTGTGCTAAATGACATGTGACTTTTTCACAAAGGATACGGCTGTGTGCCTGATTGCATTGGTGGGCTGAAATATGTCAACGCACAAAGAATTTACATGAAATAATCACTTTTGTTCAGAATGTTATTAATCTCTCCTGGACATAAATGCCAAATGCTAGTGTGACTCTTTCATTCTTTCATTGAAAGGGAAGGGGGAATTACAGTATAAGCCGGATACATCTGTGATATATTTATGTTCCTTTTTTCCCTCCCTCACCTCTTCCTCCTCTTATATCCACTACCAAAGGGAGTGCTGTCCAACATCTCTTCCATTACTGACCTGGGTGGCTTTGATCCAGTCTGGCTTTTCCTTGTGGTTGGAGGAGTGATGTTCATATTGGGCTTTGCAGGATGCATTGGAGCTCTGCGGGAGAATACCTTTCTTCTCAAGTTTGTAAGTAGCTGTAATAAATTCCTCCTTAGAGAGCAATCCGTAAACAGAGTGCTATTTTCCATCTGTATTAGTCCCTTTAGATGTGGATCTTGTCTTCCAGAAGCTGTTGGTTTCCCAATCCCCATAAGCCTACCCAATCTCACCTAAGGTCAGGGCTAAGGGTAGTTCAGAATTTGAAAGGATCTAGAGTTTACTTCTTTTCCCTTCCTTTCAAACACTGTTTTTCTTTTCCTGTGCAGATATGTGCCATTTTAGGTCTTTTAAAAATTTACTTCAAGTTTTTATGAAGCCCATTCATATTTTTTTAAAAGCACCTTAAATGGGTGCTCTATGAACACCATTCAGGTGTTCAACTTGAATGGGATCTTTAAACACATGTAAAATAATGGGATGATCTTGCCTCACTAGCTTAAAGCTGAATGGAACTTCTGATAAATCCTTCTTTAAATGGAACTTCTGGTAAATCCTTCTTTAAATCTTACTATTCAGCCTTTATTGTAAGTCATCTAACATTATAAGAAGTGGCCTGCAGATAGCCATAAATAAATAAATGTGGCAAGTTGAGGGACTGAGATGATGGAGCCAATATCTGTAGTTCCAGCTCATTTATGCATGCTCTGTTGATGCTCTTGTATTAACAGTTTTGTGTTGGAATGCTTCAGCATCAATTCTGAGCTGTAAACGTTCATTTTGATCATTGGTGGCCTCCTTTTTTATCCCTTAGGCTGTCTCTGATTCATACTCTTACTGTTCTCCCTGCTGCATACCCTTTCCCAGTTATTGTGTGATCACTGGGAGGAAGGCAGTAGCAAGACTTTGGCAATTGCAGGGAGTATAAACTTGATAGATAAAATAGAAAAAAAAACCTACTTAATGGCAGCAGGAGGACCTCGGTCTGGCTCATATCAGCCAGTTGGTCAGATGATCAGCTGAGTGACAGGCCTAGATTGGTTAGTTTTCTGCCATTAATTGGCAGCAGGAAATTAGCAGTCTGTTTTCCTGGTGCTCATCTTGTCATTGAACAAGCATGTATAGTTCCCTGCAGTACTGAAGGCTGCAGTTTCTGCCAGCCTCATTTGAGAATAGTGAGGTGTAAAATGAGTAAAAATAGCTGTGATATTGTTAATCTCTATCCATTTGATTTTTTGGTATTGCATTAGTTCTTAAGGTTTGACTGAAGCCAATCATCAAATACTTCATAAATTATTTTACTTCTTCTTTGCAGTTCTCAGTCTTCCTTGGAATAATCTTCTTCCTGGAACTCACAGCTGGTGTTCTGGCATTTGTTTTCAAAGACTGGATCAAAGACCAGCTGTATTTCTTTATCAACAACAATATCCGAGCATACAGAGATGATATTGATTTGCAAAATCTCATAGACTTTACCCAAGAATATGTAAGAGCTCCTTCTTTCTTTAAGATATGACTGCGGAACCTGCATGGCCCACCAGATGTTGCAGAATTACAATTTCTAGCATCTCTCACCTTTGTTCATGTAGATAGGAATGACCAGGAATTGTAATTCAGTATCTGTAGGTGAACTACAGACCTGCCATACCTGCTTTAAGGAAAAATACCCCAGTTTGAAGTTGACTTTTGCTATTCATCTACAGCCAGTGGCAACATTAGTCTTGGCTGATTTCAGAAAGCTAAGGAAAGTCAGACCAGTATAGTCATTGTATGAGGGATCATCAACAAATACAGAGCGATAGGTTAGATTACAGACTATGGTTAGAAGAAGGCAATGACCATATTGTTGCCAAGAAAAGTATATGAAACTGTCCATGAAACCACCCCAAGTCAAATGCAGCTTGAGGAAGAACTTTCCCCCCACTGTACTGCTGTGTTTCATTTCTTACCTGTTTATTTCTGAAAGGTTTCCTGAAAACATTTTCAGTGTGATTGAAGGCATGTTTCCTATTGAATTACACCATCAGTAATGTAACAGCAGTATTTATCAAGAAATATTTTGCAAATATCTGGATTTCATAGCAAATGGATTCACATCCTTATTCTCGTAACTGGAGGAAATGGACAACATTTTGAATGTGTTGTGGTCGTAGCTTTTGTATTCAGCTAGAGTTAGAATGAATAAGCCTGTTGCTGAAGCTTTCTGGAAAATAAATGGAATCATGCAACATAGTGTAATAAGCAATCTGTTTTAGACAAATGATTGAAATAGCAGTTTTGCTGCTGTGGCTGAGTCAAGCTTTTTCTCTGTGCTGAACAGAGTTTCATTCATTTCATTTCTAGTATGTGCAGCAAAGGTGGTTTGAGGATCCTATCTGAGGTCTTATTTCAGGCCTAGTGCATATGAAATCAGCGCCACATGCAAATTGCATTAAACAACTGGCTCACATTTTGAAACTTCTCTCTATATTGCACATTTTGCCACAAAGAGTGGTAGATATTCTGTACTTTCCAAAAGACTTTTTGCATTGATTAAGGGGGGAAATGTTTGGAGCACTGCAGCATATGCAGTGTCTTGGGGCTTTTTGCAATTCCTAGCTGGGAAGGAATCCTTGAATGTCAAAATGTTCATGTGCTACAATAAAGACTTGAAACCTTTTGCACATATTTCTAGCACAGAAATAAATTCATAGAGTTATTTGGAATGGTAGCTTACCAGAAGAATAACCATGTCTGGCCCATGTTGCAAAAACTATAACTGCTTGTATTTTTTTTCCTCCTTACCCTAGTGGCAGTGCTGTGGGGCCTTTGGAGCTGATGACTGGAACCTCAACATTTACTTCAACTGCACGGACTCCAACGCTAGTCGAGAACGATGTGGAGTACCTTTCTCTTGCTGCACTAAAGATCCTGCTGTAAGTCAGAGCAGAAGCCTGGCAAGGCTACTGTTCCACCCTGGAACGACCTTCAGTCAAATGGATTGTTCTTACACTAAGCTAGTGCCACAATAAATATATTAGCTTCTAAGATAACACAAAATTCTTTTCAGTGCTGTGGCAGACTAACATGGCCCAGCCCTCTGCGTTGGAGAAGAAAATATGTGACTTTTATCATAAATTCTGTTTAAAAAGTTCATTTTGAATGCCTAGTTTTCATATTTAAGCCCATGAAGATGTATCTACTGAGCAAGAATCATGTTTCTGTCTATATTTCTGAACTTCAGAGTATCTGAAAGTGTCTATTAAGGACAGCTAGGGTTGTTGGGGGAGGTAGGGAGGAAGGAAGTGACCTCAAGGCAGCCGTAAAATAATTTTTTTGGAAAAACAAAGGCCTCCCCTCCAGAGCTAATAAAAAAAATAATCCAAATAAGCACAGACATTCCATGATGCTTTACAGACATGGAACAATCAAATGAAGGTCCAAATAAAGGTGGTTCTCCACACATATACTGCCCCTGTTACCACCAGAAAATAATGGCCAATTGGAACTTTATGAGAAAAGGATGCAAAATAGAATTGACAGATTAATAATAATAATAAAAAATAATAAAAATAATAATAATTCCTGAGATGATACTTAACACCATCAAACAACAACATTTGCCTGA